ACTTGGCAGAACAGTTGGAGCCTTCGTGCACAGCTGGAGCGAGCTCCTGGTGCAGGAGAGAAAGGGTCTCCTCCATCCTGAACTCTTCTGGCTGTCCTGGTCATCTGTCACTGTTGAGGAACCCCCGTTTGCTCTCTGCCTTGCATGGACACTCACCCAAGGCTGCAGGACCAGCCTTCCCTCAGCAGAACGAAGCCAACAAGCCTTGTGTGAAGCCAGAAGCCCCCTCCTCCTCCCCAAACAGCTCCTGCCACCTCCCACAGCACCACTCCGAGCTGGGGCACCCTGGGGCACCTGCAGCTGCTGCCACAGCACAGGGGATGTCACCCCCTTCAAGAAGAGGCTGAGCCTGTTTGTGTTGGCCTGATGAGAGCAGACCCTGTGGGCTTGCTGCAGAGCCATTGGCACTAGAGTTTTGAAAAACATGTTTCATGTTGCCCTTAATTTCATTTAAGGTCACTAAAAATGGACACCACAGCCACATATCTCATGAACCATGAATTCCTAGAATCCCCCTAAGCCCGGAGGATGAGGGAAAAGCTTATTTTAGCACACATCCCTTGTGATCGGCCCTTTGAACTCAGCACACTGGGTGTGCTGGGAGCAAAAAGCTGAGGCACCCCAGGCCAGTGAGCAGGCTGGGGCTCTGTCCTGACACCAAATTGCCACTGTAATTCAGAAAGGACATTTCCTGCTCCCAGGCATGCTCAAGGCAAGAGGACTGGACCTCACCCGCACAATTATTGGGGTTGGAAAAGACCTCCAAGATCAAGTCCACTTCTGAACGATACCCACCTTGTCAGCCAGCCCAGAGCACTGAGTGCCACATCCAGGCCTTCCTTAGATACCTCCAGGGATGGGGATTCCACCACCTCCCTGGGCAGCCAGGGTGTTTGACCATCCTTTCAGTGAAGAATTTCCTCTTGATGTCCACCCTGAGCCTGCCCTAGCCCAGCCTGAGGCTGTTCCCACTCCTCCTGTCCCTGTTCCCTGGAGCAGAGCCCGACCCACCCCGGCTGTCCCCTCCTGGCAGGAGCTGTGCAGAGCCACAGGATCCCCCCGGAGCTCCTTTTCTCCAGCCTGAGCCCCTTCCCAGCTCCCTCAGCCCCTCCTGGTGCCCCAGACTCTCTCCCAGCTCCATCCCCTTCTCTGGACACGCTCCATCCCCTCCATGCCTTTGTTGTCATGGGGACTCAGAACTGGACAGAGCACTCGAGGTGCCTCAGCAGTGCCCAGCACTGGGGTGGTCACTCTCCTGGTCCTGCTGGCCACAGCACGGCTGGTACAGACCCAGCTCTCCCTGGCCACAGCATGGCTGGTACCAACCCAGCTCTCCTTGGCCACACTGCTGGCTAGGTTCCCCAGCTGTGGAAGCAGAACAAAGAGAAGCCTCAGGCAGCAAGAGCCACTGTCCTGGTTTTCTCTTGCTGGTTCAGGTGTCCAGGTGGGAGCAGAGTGCAGGAAAACAAGTGGCACTGAGCACTGAGCCTGCAGTGTACCACTGCAGGTACATCTGCTGCTCTGTGCTGCCAGCATCACAGCACACACGGAGCTGTCCTGAGGTGAAGGTCACAAGGGTGCTGTCACCACGAGCCACATTGCCTTGCAAGGCTCTCTCATCCCATCCTGGGGCTGCCAGGGAGCTTTTATTGCTGCCCTTCATTCAGAAAAGGGCACAATCAGAGCTCAATATACCCCTGCAAATTAAAGGTGGATTTACTGGTTGGTGTCTATCTATTTTTGCACAAAGAACTTCGGGAGAACAAGAAGGTTTTGTAAGCTGCAGCTGAGTAAGTTCCCTGGCACGCTGAAGGAACCTGCTTTATTAAATTAGTAATACAGAGCTTAAAACATGGAATGAGTTGGCTCTTGCACAGAGACAGGTGCAATCATTCCTGCCCAGGTCTCCCCAGCACAAATCTTCACAGCAACATGTACAACTGATGTAGAGCTGCTAGAAGTCAGGGGCTAGACACTCCACCACCAGTATAACTTCCCTTAAAAAACATCACTTTCCAGTTGAACCAAACCAAACTTTAAAATTCTCTTCTAGCAGTCAGATAGTCAGCTTTTTGCCTTTCCTTTTAGGCCACCAAAACTAAGAGCAGTCCAGTAAATCTTGGGACTTGTCAGTTCATGTCTAAAGCAAGGATTGTGGCCATTCCCCTTGCAGCACAGACCAGCACATCTGCTTCACTGAGTACACACTCACTGCCCCAAGGCTGGGGAGCTCCTGAGCAGCCCCAGCACACACTGCTGGAGACACAGCTCCTGGAAGCTCCAGGTGGGTACACTGCTTCAGCAGCAGGGGCTGGAAAGCCTTGGTTGCAACCAGCAACCTCAGTGCACTGGGACAGGCTGTTCCCAGCTCTGTCTGACTCCTCATCAGTCCGTGCATTGCTTGTTCCACCTGACTGAAAACTGATTTGCAGAGAGCTGGTGAAGAGCCCAACTCAATTCTCAGCCTCCAGCTCCATCCTGCAGTTCACTGAAGATCATGTGAGAGCTTCATTCGTCCCAGATCCTGGCTGTGGGCTGATGGAAGCACATCTTAGGAATGCCAGGTCGGTGCTGGGACCAGGCAAGTCTGACCAAGTGAGAGAAGGCTCAGAAAATGTAGATATCTTCAAAGGCACTGCAGAAGGGGAGAAAGAGCAACAACATCTCCATCCACACATGACCCTGAACCAAGCTGGAGGTGAGGAAGGCTTGCTTTCTTCCTCAGGCTGTGAAGGATGAAGTGGCCCTGGGTGGCTGCACCAGGAGGTTGGACTACAGACCTCCTGAGAGTCCTTCTTATCTGAGTGCTTCCATGATCTGGACTGAAAATGCAACACAGGGCCTTTGCAATTATTTAGGACAAAGACTCTGCACCTCTTCAGGCCCTGATTCTGCCCATGCTGGTGCTGAGAACATTCCTAGAACAGCCAAGCTTCAGCCCTGTGGCTTAAGTATCACTCATTAGCTGAGCCCCTCCATGGGCTATGCAGGCAGCACATGAGGAATGTGTTGCCTTCCTTGGGTAGACAAATGGAGCCAATCCACATTCCTCAGACATCTTGTCACTGGTCCCCAGCCTGGGATGGCAGCAGCTCCTCAGCTGGGGTTATGGATGTCAGCCCTTCAGAGGAGATGCTGATTTCCACTGGAATTTCCAGGCCAGGGCTGGGTGTGCTGTGGGCACACACAGCAGAGCTCTGTGGATTGGCCCCTGCCAGGACTGTGCTTGTCACCCCCCTGTCCCTGGGGTACCCAGGGGTCCCTGCAGGCCTTGGGGAACACAGCACCAGGCTCTGACAAATCTGCTTCCCAAATGAAACCTGTCACCTGGTGCAGTTTCCAGAGAGGAGACCCACTTGGGCAGCTCAGCCCCAAGAGAGCAGCCCTGTCCCAAACCTTCCTGCCAGAGCTGAGCTCCCTCCTCATGGGGGGACACAGGGAATTTGGGTACAAGGAGTACAGAGGGAGTTTGCTTCATTTCTAATACTGGACTGGAAAAATGTTGGCTGTCTGCTGACAAAATTGAAATATTGAAATGTCTGCTGACATCTCCAAGCACCTCCAGCACATTCCCTTCCCCTCCTTGACCAGCTCTGTCTCCTCCCAGTGAGCACTTAGCAAAACCCTTGGGCCTCCTAAACATGCAGGGAACACAACTGTGCTCCCTGCTGTCACTGAACAGGGCAGGAAAATCCTAGCAGTTGCCTAAAGGACATTTTTCTTTGTTTTAATAAACAAACAAAACTCCAAATAAAGAAAAAAAAAAGCCAGAGAACAACAAAATCCCACAACCAACCACAACAACAAAAATAAAACTCCTCACTTCCAAAGAAAGTCTCCCTCCTGGAAAAGCCAAGGGAAAAGTGATTTACATGGTCAAATTGGAAGGCTGAAAAAGCAGGACATGAATTGCTCCCACTGCCATGAGGCAAGGGACAGGTCACTCCATCTGAAATCTTTCTGGGCCTTTGCCACACTCCCCACTGTCTGCCACAAGCTTCCTGGGTCAGCTGGTTCTGCCTTTCAGGGCACAGAAAGACAAGGAAAAGGACACGGCACTGCTGCCAAAACATTTGGGAGAAGAGAGGAATCTGTATTTGTCTCTGTGGTACGAGTCAGCTGCAAATGAGCTTTAGAAAAATCAGTGTAACAGGTGACTCTTCCCTGGCTGCAGGTCATGTACTGAATTTGCAAAGCCTCAGGACAGTGGTTTGCCTTGTCCAAATTCTGCTTTAACTTGGCTCAGCTGCAACACCAATTCTTTCTTCTGAGCAGGTGCTTCTAACTGATTTGTTTTATTTTTACTTACCATTGCTTCATACAATCGTGATTTTCCACACTGTCCCTCTGTGCAGAAAAGATATTTGGCCCTAACAAACTGCAGCAATATTTAAAATACAGGCCTGATGTGACAACAGAGACCTTGAGAAGGGCAGACAAAGGCTGATTTGTCTGATTTTTGCAGAGCACAGCCACAGGATGGTAAGAGATGGGGCAGAGATGGGCCCTGAGGACTCCACAAACACAAACAAATCACAAGGGATCAAACAAATGCAGACCTGAAGGTGAAACCCATGGAAGAGAACAAGTATCAAATTTGTATAAAAATTCATGAGATGTCACTGCCCTGAAACAGGTGAAGTTTACTGTTTTTCATAATTTGGCAAAGACAGAAATTTTCCACAGGCTTTGCACCTTCCCTGTGATGGGAATTTCCTGTTCCAACCCCCACACTCAGGAGAACAACAATGCTACCTGCAGGAATATCTGTGTTCAGTCTAAGACCCTCTGGAACTCACACCAAGAGCTGTTCTGGTTTGTCTCCTGTGGGCCATTCTCTAAGATTCAGCTTAAAAAAGCACATTCAGCTCCTGATGTGCACAACTAGAAATAAATACTGCTTTCTAAAAGGAAGGAAAGCAGAGCAAGAATATGAAGTTTGACTGGTATACAAAATTCTGATGACATTCTAGTCAAACCGAAGGAAATAAAAATATATATTGCCTATACAAATCAATCTTTATTTTCAAATGCTGCACTGCATAAAATGTATCTGATTACCAGCCCTGTGCATGGACACAGCCCCCCTCCACCCTTCTCCTAGCACAAGCAGAGCAACTACACACACCATCATCTGCACCAGAAGAAAAACCTATTTGCAACTCAATTCTCTTTTCTTTATAAGTGAACAGTGTTCACGTGGAAGAACCACCAGGAAAAGACATTTCATTTCTGCATTCAGATGAAATGATCAGGTTCGCTACAGGCTGGTCCCATGTGTGGAAACTGCCAGTCCTTTCAGTGCTCTTCACCTTCTTAACCTGGATAAAGAAGCACTCTTAAGGCTCCTCTGTTCTAGGAGTGCAACTGCCTTTCTTAGAAGGCAAAACAGTGCAGAGAAACCAGAGGGCAGAGCTCCTCTGAGAATGCCATGGCCCCATCAAGTAATGGCTTTGCATCAAATAATCCTCCTGCAGTGACTGCTGTCCTTGCCAGACCAGCAATTTTTCTACCAGCAATATTTTCCCAGCAACACACACGTTCTTCCCAAGAGAGAAGTGCTTTCCATCCTTTGCTCCCAGCAATGTTTCAGAGAAGTCCCAAATTTTATTCTGTACCCGAGATCTTGTTGAAAATTATATCCATGGGGAAAGCTCTATAGAGATTTTTGGTAATGGGAATTTGCAGAAACATGGATAACCTTTCTTATTTGGAAGGAGACCAGCTTGACAGGATGTTACACTCGTGTGCTTCTGCTTTAACTCCAATGTCCAATCACAGCTAATCCCACAGGTGACATTCACAGCAATCTCTGAGGACCTCCTGCTTTAGGGTGTGTATTTTCTCATGTGTGCAGCAACAGAAGCCGAAATCTCAGCACTCTTCTTATTCTGGCCATAGTAGTCCACAAAGTCACCATCGGGGCCGAGGAGGTACATAATTATTGTGTGATCCACCTGCCAGAGAGCACAGCGAGGCGTGGTGAGAGACCACAGCATCACACCACACAGCTCAGAGGGGAAATGTGGCACCGGGCTGGGGCCAGCAGTGGGACACAGGGAACTGGGATCAGGGTCAAGACAAGCAGTGGGATACAGGGAAATGTGTCATTGGGATGGGGCCAGCAGTGGGATATAGGGAACTGTGGGACTGGGACCAGCACTGGGATACAGAGAACTGTGGAACTGAGACACAGAGAAATGTGGGATTGGGATCCAGACCAGCAGTGGAACACAGGGAAATGCAGGATTGGGATCGGCAGTGGGATACAGGAACATGTGGGATTGGAACAGGCAGTGGGATACAGGAAATGCGGGATTGGGATCGGCAGTGGAACACAGGGAAATGCGGGATTGGAACAGGCAGTGGGATACAGGAACATGCGGGATTGGGATCGGCAGTGGGATACAGGGACATGAGGAATTGGGATCGGCAGTGGGATACAGGGAAATGCGGGATTGGAACAGGCAGTGGGATACAGGAAATGCGGGATTGGGATCGGCAGTGGGATACAGGGAAATGCGGGATTGGGATCGGCAGTGGGATACAGGGACGTGCGGGACAGGCGTGCCCCCTGCCGGCACACCGAAGCAGCCTCACCCATGCACATCCCGGATATTCCGATTGGATTTGTATCAAAATTAACTCCACTGCAAATTTATTTAAATGACACTACAAGCGCTGTCTGCACCTAATCGTGACAACACCTTTCTCAGCAAAGACACAGAGTTCTGGCGCTGGAAGCCATGATTGATCAGGACTGCAATACAGCCGTGGTCTGAGTTCAGATGCATTAGAAATGACAAATCACAGCAACTTTGGAGCACGTAGAAAAAGAGCCAGTCAAGTATGTTACAGATCAGAAAGAAATTCAACTATTGCCAGGCTTGCTAGTTCCTGTGCTACTGTCTGCATTTCTGGGATTGTTCAGAACACACTTTGGTAAGGTGCTGAGCTTGTAGGAGGGCACTGTGGTTCTGACAGGTGAACACACAACTGCACACAGGACTTCAGTAAAGATCCAGTAGCCAGTTCTAAAATGTACGTGCTGCTCTTATCCACAGTCTTTCAGTAAGCAAAGGCTGCTTTTACTCACTATGTAATCGTTGTCCTCATCCTTGGGCCCTTCGCTGTAGTACACACGGTATGCTTTAGCCACTTGGTCAATCTGTGCCTTGCTACCAGTCAATCCCACCAGCTTCGGAGAAAATTCTAGATAGAAAGAAGACATTTACACATTTTGGTAAAAATAATTCCTTCAAGACACTCCTTTTTAGTGCTCTACATGCTATGAGACACAGGGGAAGCAAGCAGGAATACCTTTAACATATCTGGCAATGGCTTCTTGGCTGTCCCTCTCAGGATCGATGGTGATGAAGAGTGGGGTCAGATTAGGCAAAGACGGAATTCGATCTGTGGTATTAACAATTAGTATTTATTTTATAAAACCAGGTATCATCTCTCATCTTCCTTCAAACAAGCTCACAGCCATGAAACATCAATCCAAGCCCACCCCAAGTGACTAGACCATTTTGTGCAGTTTTATTTCTGTAATTTGTGAAGGAAGCAAGTGCCATGAGATGCAAGGCTCTGTGTCTGAATTCCCATACCGATTTCATCCACCACTGCAATCATTTTCTCCAGTTCATCAGGGCAGATGTCAGGGCAGTGAGTGAAGCCAAAGTAGATCAGCACCCACTGGCCAATGTAGTCCTTGTTGGTCCTGGGCTGTCCCTCATGACTGACAAGGGAGAAGGGCCCTCCCAACAGGGGCTTCCCAATGCCTCGGTTTCGCTCCTTCTCCAGTTCTACAAAACACAAGCGGGAATCAAACACACCCATGCCACAAGGCACAATGCTTCCAAGCCCTGGGAGCAGCCAAGTCAGACACTGCTCAGGGTCACTTCAAGATCCACCAACACCTGTCATGCAGAAACCCAACGTGCACATGCCTTCCAGAAAGAGCTCCTTTTGGACAAAATCAAATATATCACTAAATTCCTTTGAAACATGATATTATCTTTCATTGTTACCCAACCGCATTTTTGTTTAAAAAGGGAAAAAATAAAGACAAGATATCTAGCCTGCTGTGAAACAGCAAAACCAGCATCTGTTGAAAAGTGAACAATACACTAAAAGCTGCATTGCCTGTGTTTTCAACTGTAAAGGAAAAGTGTGAAATCCAAGAAAAGGAAATGTGTGGGCAGTTGCTGCAGGAGCAGGCAAAGCTCACGGTTTGCACATGAACCAGGAACCCAAGGAGCCCACAACACCCAGCTCCATGTCTGTGCTGCATAGGCTGGCACAGCCTATTTTTGAAAAGATTTTTGAAAATCTTTGCTGCACTTCATGTATTTTAAGGAATAACCTTAAAAGCAATAGCCTGTTGCATATTCATATATTCATAAAGGATGCATAAATTCCTTGCAAATTAAGAACTTTACTGGGTTTTGTCAACTTCTTCCCCTTAACCCTGGTGGTTCCATAAAGACGGAGAGAAGGTGGAAAAATATTTGTCTTTTCTGATCAGGAAGAAGTAAGTTTTTATGGGCCCCCTTGGGCTGACATCTCTGTGTAAAGAGTCTCTTGATTATCCCATCTTCTCGCTTGAGCTTGTAACAAATTCTCTACCACAGAGCTTCTATTTTAACATTATGTTGTAACCTAAAACTACATTTAACCCACTACTTAAGAGAACTAACACAACATAACTTTCTAACATTACACATATAATATTCATCATAACATTTGTGAGAAGCCAATCAGAAAGTATACATTTTTCACAATTACTATTTTTATACCCATTTCATTATTATTAAACTTGTAAATTTAAAAAAAAAACGAGTGATTGGCGTTTTTCACAGAACGCAAAACCCCCACCATACAAACACGACCACCGCATCGTCCGAGCGCGAAACGCGCAGCCCCGCACTCACTCTCCTCCTTGCGCCGCTTCATCACCTTCATTGCGGCCAGCAGCCCCCCGCCCAGCACCACGGTGGCCGCCAGCGACCTCCAGGACACGACCTGCGGGGGGACAAGGCTCTGGTGACCGCCCGGGGCCCGCCCGCGCCCGGCCCGCGCTGCCCGCGCCGCGCTCCCTCACCCGCCCGTGCCGCGGCCCGCGGCCCGACCGCTGCGCCAGCGGGCGGCTGCGGGGAGCGGGCGGCAGCGCCCAGCCCGGCCCGGCCCGGCCCGGCCCGGCACGGCACGGCACGGCCCAGCCCGGCACGGCCCAGCCCCGCTCGGCCCAGCCCGGCCCGGCCCGGCCCGGCAGCCGCCACAGCCCCGCGGCCGCCCGCAGCCGCCACAGCGCCGCCATGCTGCCGCCGGGCGCGCCGCCCCTTCCGGCCCGCCCGCTCCGCCATGCAGGCCGCGCCGCCGCGCCTCGCCCTCGGGCTGGTGGCTGACGTGCAGTTCGCGGACGCGGAGGACGGGCACGACTTCGGCGGCTGCCGGCGGCGCTACTACCGGCACAGCCTGCGCTTGCTGCGGGAGGCGGTGCGGGAGTGGGCCGGGGAGAGCCCGCCCGTAGGCTTGGTGCTGCAGCTGGGCGATTGCATCGACGGGCAGAACGCCCGGCGCGGCGAGGCCGAGAGCGCCTTGCAGCGGGTGCTGGAGGTGCTGGGGCAGCTCTCGGTGCCGGTGCACCACGCCTGGGGCAACCACGAGCTCTACAACTTCAGCCGGGCCCGGCTGGCGCGCAGCGGGCTGTACAGCCGGGCCGCGGCGGGCTCGCACGGGCCCGCGGACCCGGAGTGCCACGCGTATCACTGCAGCCCGGCCCCGCGGCTCCGCCTCGTCGTGCTCGACAGCTACGACACCAGCACCCTGGGCAGGGACCCCGGCAGCCCCCGCTGCCAGGAGTCCCTGCGGCTGCTGCGGGAGAAGAACCACAACGATGATCTCAACAGCCCCGAAGGTACCTCCGGGCTTGGCCGGGGCGCGGGCGGCCGAAGCTTGGCTGTGCGGAGCTGCCGGTGCTGACAGCGGGATGACAGCATCGTGTGCCCCGTTGATAACCAGCTCCGTCGCTTCCCTGCCCATCCCCGCCCCGGTGCTGCCGCGGTGCCCTGCTCTGTGCCCCGCAGAGCACCGAGTTGTGCCCACCCTGTCCCATGCCGCGGGGAAACACAACAGTGGGAACCCTGTTTGGGTAGTGTGGCCAAAATTCCTGAAAATATCAACAAATAATCTTTGTGCAAGGGGGCTGGAATTCTGATCCAGGGAATGCAAAAAAAAAGCCCCAAAGGTTGTGAGAGTAAACCAACCATCAGCAGATTGACCTAAGGCAAATAGAGTAGGCATGGGAGGTGTATGCGTTTGTGCCTAACCTTCTTCTTCATTGCAGGGCTCAAAGAACCTCATTTTGTAGCATTTAATGGAGGATTTAGTCAAGCCCAGCTGGACTGGTTTGATGAAGTCCTCAAGTTCTCTGATGAAAACCAAGAAAAGGTTATAGTTATGGGTAGGTAGATACGGAGGGAGATAAATAGACAATCAGAATGGTTTGTGTTAGAAGGGTGCTTAAAGCTAATCTGGTTCCAACCCCTGTGTTTGATGGGGTTGTACAAAGGAAGCTCTCAGCAGCTCCTCTCAGAAAACTCATTTCTGTGGGTGGTTTCTTCCCTCCTCTCCAAATACCAATTAATGCAAAACCAGCACAACTCCCATGAAATACGAGAGAAAAAAAAAAGCTAGCCCATATATGTTAGCTGTAGTTGGTCTGCTGAGGTACAGATGGAACCCCTGAAAGAGCAGAACAGCAACCACACCTCACTCTGGGGGCGAGCTTTCTGTACTCAGTGGGATGGCTGAAGTTCCCAACCATGAGCAGCTTTGGTACAGTTTAACTATGTATTTCTTTCCCTCCGGACTGCAGCTCACGTACCCATCCATCCCTCCGCTTCCAACGGGGTTTGCCTGGCCTGGAATTACGAGGCTGCCCTGTCAGTGATCCACGCCCACGGGTGTGTGGTGTGTGTCCTCGCGGGGCACCTGCACGACGGCGCCTACTGCCAGGACTCTCACGGAGTTCACCACCTCACCTTGGAGGGGCTCATCGAGACGCCCCCCGAAAGCAACGCCTTTGGAACTATGTACGTCTACGAAGATAAACTGGTACTCAAAGGAAGGGGCAGAATTCCTGACAGAGTTATGCATTTCTGAAATACAAATGCAGATTGCTCTTCTTCAGGAAGGACTCGGACAAAAATGTAGGAGATTCAGCTGTTTGCTTTTAGAAAGCTGTGCATGGCTGATCCTTATTGCTTTAGCTCAGGTGTTTTTCTCTTGGATACAGAATTTTAGAAATTGTGTTTCTGTAAGAGAGCACCTGACTTCTTTTTGGAGAATTGAGAAGGCCGGTAATTGCAATAAGTATACTGGAATGCAGAATGTTCATTTCAAACACCCAATCCAGACTGGATTGCTACTGTGAAAAGATGCAAACTGTTGTTATCATGCTGGCATGGTAGCGTGGAGGAAGGTTTTAGAAAGGCCTTGAGAATGGTAAACTGAGGAAAAGGATACATTCATGTATGCCCCATTGTTTTAGAAAGGCCTTGGGAATGGTAAACTGAGGTAAAAGATACATTTATGTATGCTCCACTGTTTCAGGAAAGTCCCGCTTCAGCATTCCTCTGTAGACCCCCTTCTCCCCACCCCTGAGCAGTTCCCATTGGACCTGGCCCCTGGGGCGGTTCTGATGTGCCTTAGCTGAACACTGTCTCTATTGTTTAAGACCTTATCTCTTAATTTTGCTGTATAAAACTGTATCTGGGCAATAGCCCAGGGCCTTTGGTCCCTGCAACCGTTCAGGCAATACAATCTATCTGGACAAGCATACCATTGGTCTCTCTGGGTCTCTTTATCTCGAATCCTAGCAAAGTGGCGGTCCAAAGAGAAGCAACACAAACCATATAACAAATATTGCTCAAAAAAAGCCCTAATGCTGTTCTCTCAGAGAGCATTAAAGCATGCAGAGTTGTACCTGCCCAGCCACATCTCTATTTATTTATTTTCTTTGAACATTACAGTAAGGTCTCATGTCTGGCTAGAATATATCTAGCCTGTAGCCTAATTCAGTCTTCCAACTTTGCTTTAAAAGACTAAAGTAATCTTCAGAGAAAGCTGAGCCTAAGGAGAGAGAGACCATGTATGCTGCACCATGGAATGCTGCACATACTCAGGCTGTGCTGTGTGTGCACAGCTGGGATCTCCTGCAGCATGCTGAGAGTGGCATCTGACACCCATGTAAATAAAAGTGTTGTGTGTTACACCTGGAGCTGTCCTGGCTCTGTCCCTGCCAGCTCCTGAGTCCAGTGTATTCACCTGTGCTTCCTTCTCCAGGATGGACAGTGGGACATGCTGCTGCAGGGCTACTGTATGGGTCCTGATTTCCAAGAAAAATTAGGTGAGCAGCAGAGTTGTGACAGTGCCCACATCTGCTGGTGACAGGCTTGAATATACATCTCCCAGAAAATAAAATATTCTGTAAGTTTTCTTACAAAAATATTGTTTATTACTCAGTAAAACCAGTGACTTTCAGTTAAAGATAATAGCAAAAATATTTTTTCAGACATATTCTACGTATGATTTTAGCACAGGACAGAAATAGACTGCTCAATTTTCCAGTAAGTCTGAAATGGATTGTCCAGGCACATTTTTGAAAGTTCTATGGCTGTAGATAGTCATTTATTAAAACAGTATTTGCTTTATTTGTCCCTTATGTTACAGAATAGTAGATTTCCCAAACTACAAGGTGACTGGAGAGTGATCCAGGGAGATAGTGATATCTTGAATATACCATCAGAACAGACATTAGCTCAATGGTGTTTGGAAAATCTAAGAACCAGCAAGGTGAACAGTTTCCATAGAAAAACTCCTCACTCAGATTTGACAGTGATCCTCAATATTTTACCAAATCTCAACTGGCACTGCTGGAAGCAGCCAGGTATTCTTGGGTGCTATCAAACTGACACTCACCTTTCATTAAGCACCAAAAACAAAGGCAAATAAGGTCAGCATGGTTACTGTGGACTTTCTCCCATGCAGTTAAATCACAGTTTTGCAGTGTGTTGGCCAAGACTCTCTCATGTCTTTGTTAACATAAATGTACAGCCACGAAACAAAGGGAAAGAGGGCAACAACGACTGCAGCAACCAAGCAAACTCCTCCCAGGGGACTCCTGTAAGAACAGATCCAACAGAGCTGCTTCAAATCACTGAATCTCTAAGGCTAGAAAAGACCCCTATGATCACCAAGTCCAACCTTGGACTGCATACCACCACACCCACTAAACCCTATGGTGCAGTGCCACATCCAGTTGTTTTGGGTTTTTTTAACACTTCCAAGGAATGGTGACTCCACCATCTCCCTGGGCAGCCTGTGCCAATGCCTCACCTCTCTTTCAGTGAAGGAATTTCCCCTAGGATCTAATCTCAACTTCCCCTGCCACAGTTTGAGGCTGTTTCCTCTGATCCTGTCCCTTGTTCCTTGTCCCCCACCTGGCAGCACCCTCCTGTCAGGGAGTTGTTGAGAGTGAAAAGGTCCCCTCTGAGCCTCCTCCAGACTGAGCCACTCCATCTCCCTTGGTGACTCCTGGTGCTCCAGACCCTTCCCCAGCTCTGTTTCCTCCCCTGGACACACTCCAGTCCCTCAAAGTCCTTTTTGAAGTGCACAAATCTGACCCCAGGGCTGGAGATGCTTCAGCAGTGCCAGCACAGGGGACAAGCACTGCCCTCATCCTGCTGACCACACCGTGGTGGGACAGGCCAGGATGTCCTTGGCCTTCCTGGCCACTGCTACAGCCACCACGTAACATTCACATCTGCCTGCAGCTGGAAGGACAGCAGAGAGCCTTTGGCCACTTCAATGGATGTATCACCAATCTTTTACTGGAGAAGCACAAAGAATTTTCTGACAACTCAGGCTACAGAAACTAGCTGGAATTAAATACAGCACCTTAAGCAAAAGGAAAATGCCCCTATTATGGCAGGGGGCCAGAAAAAGTGCTTCATATAGGCTTACATTCCCCCCTGCCCCAACTTTTATCTGTGCAAGATCCTCCAGGCTGTACCACCAGCTGCTACAGCTTGGGCATCTGGAAGGTTCAGAGAGTGACACGAACCAGGAAAACAAGCTGCCAAAATCAATTGTGTGTGTTCAAGGAGCTAGTCACTAAATGTGAACACTGGAATGGATTATAAAAAAAGAGAAAATAAAACTTACTTTGCTGAACTGCGACAAAGACTCATCCATACTGCAACAATCACCAGACCAAACAATTCTCTAAAAAGCGAAACAAAAAACAGATCAGAAAATGATACAAACAGATGCCTATGTTCTGACAATACAAATTTTGCCTCCAAAACAGTAGTGGCTGCTCCTCTGGAGAAGTTCAATATATTTTACTTGTATTGTAATTGTAAAGGTATTTACAAAGAGTTTGGTTCACACCACAAATCTACAAATCGACATGACAGCTGAGCAGCTGCTGAAATTCCTGCCTCCACGTTTTGTTCTACTGCTGGACTTATATTCCATAGCACATTTCTCTAATTAACATAGGCAAAGCAGGCACATTTCTCTCATTAAAACAGAGCAAAGCACCATCCCAGTTTTCCAGACTGTGTTTAGGTGCAGAAAAAGCCGCCAGGGCTTCACCTCAGGACTCTGCAAACACTTGCTTTTCACACACACACTGAATGTCCAGGTGAGAAATTCCCCTTTGTCCTCAATACCTTGGAGGACTCAGCAGCCCATGCCAGATAAACATGAATTTGGTATCACCTCAAGAGTCTTCAAAACACTGATTACCACTCCCACAGCTCCAGGAAAAGAGCACAAAGCTGTTTCAGTGTGCTTGTGCCCTGGTCTCTGAAAGCCAGACAAATCCAACTGAGTGCCACAATCAGGGAGGCAATGAGTGTTCCCTTCCCTGTGTCCAAGCAGTCACTGGTTTGGAGCTTTATGGTCCCTCCTCTTTGGTCTGATTCCTCTGGACCAACAGCACTCATTGCAACAGCCCAGGAAATAAAGTTTTGGAAGGTGGCACCAGGAGGAGATGGCCTGGTGAGTGGGATTTGGGCCGGGGCAAATAAAACCCACAGCTTACCTGCCTTCCTCTTCATGAAAAATGTTTCCTTGAGCGTAAGCAAACAAAGAGCAAGCCAAGGCAATGGTCCCAACAACACAGCCAGCAGAATGAAGGTCACAGAGGCTCCTCCAAACACCATTGTCTGAGGAAAAAAATAGACTGTCAGCCACTCTCATGAAGCATGAAATAAACCCATCTGGGTCTTCCACAGACCTGAGTGGTAAATACCCCTTGGTGAATTTACATAAACCTGCAGTTTTACAGAAGTTGTACTGCTATTATAATCTTTATTTTACACAGATCTGGGCACAAGGAAAACCCTAACTATGAGTTTAACGTACAGATTCTATCGACCAGCCAAAACTTCCCCTGAAATATTCAAAACCACAAGCCTTATAGTTCTGAACTTAGGAATGCTGACACTTTTTATGCTTAAGGTGGCCAGAATGCCAAGAGACTGCAATGGTGTAATTTGTGACAATACCATGCACTCCTAAAGGTTTTCTTTTTAAAGTGTGATTTTAGTCTGTTCAGCATAAGTATTCATCCAGAACAGATACAGTCACTTCCTGTATATAAAACAGCTTTATTTAAAATTATTTCCATGGAATTAAAATACAAAAATCTTAACTGTGTTCTTAAGACTTGAAACAAATCTAATCTGAATGATCCTCTGAACTGCTGTTAGCCCCCACAATACACACCACTGGAAACACAGCCTTTGAATGTTCCTACTGCTGCCCATTGCTCTGTGGGGCAGCTGCAATACCTGGCACTGAACAAGACCTTTAGCACTTTCATGGGACTGTGCAAAGCTCAGCTGCTTTTGCAGGAGGTAGATAAACAAAAACAGATTTACTACAATGAAACAAAGTCAATTGCTAAGGTCAACACAGAGCTGGATTCAAAGCATGCTCCCAGCCTTCTGCTCCAGAAGGCTTTAAACTGGAATTGGGGTGCAAAGGCAGGTTCGTCCAGCAGCTGGACTTTCTGCTGGGCTTCTCACCTGCAGAATGCCCAGCCACCAGTACTAAAGCTAAACCAGCTTCTATAGAAATAGGTCTTGCAGCTTTTTGCCCTCAGAAGGTAGTAGGATGTGTTTCTACACAGCCTGATTTTAATCTGTGGCTCAATTAAAAAAAAAAAAAACAACAAAATACCAACAAAAAAGCAACACAACAACCTTTTGAGGGCAAAATTTGAGCAGAGACTGTTTTGCACAGCAATATCATTCATACCTGTTATTGAAGGGTTGATGCTGACAAGCAGTGTCAGGGCAGCTGGCACTAAGTAGACAACCTGTTAATGACATAAATCTACTCGGTAGCAAAACTTAGCAAGCTGAGGAAGCAGAAGTGCCCAGCCACAGCAGCAGTTTGTCAGAGGCACAGAGCAGATCCCAGTCCCTCGCCCTCCAGCATGCCCTGGCACTGCTGGTGCTCATCTTCACCGCCACCACCCAAAATCCCGTCAGCCCCCAGCCAGCCCTTGTTCCTCTGCTCCTGCCTTACAGAATACTGTCTGTCTGACCAAGCACTGCAGAGCCCCTTCCCCGAATCCTGCCCCTGCTGGGACAGGGTCCTGCCCAGCCCTGCGCTCCCCAAACCCTCCACCCGTGCTGGGGCATTTTGCCCCGCGTTGGTGCCGCTGTCAGAGGGGCTGACGCAGCCCAGGCTCGCAGGGCAGCCCCTGCCCAGCCAGCAGCTCCTGTCGCACACACAGGCTGTCCCTGTCACCCGCAGCGCCCAGCCCAGCCCGGGGGCTGCCCAGTGCCCGAGGCAGGGCGGGCACAGCAGCGGGGCTCGCTCCCGTGTCCCCCGGAGGCTCAGCCGAGCGGCAGCAGGCGGCTCTCGCTGGAGACCCAAGGCAAGCCCAGGGCCACGGGCACAGCGGGGCAGGAGGAGCGAGAGCAGCTCGCGATGCTCTGCACGGGCAAGCGATGCTCTGCCGGAGCAAGTGCACATCTGGGTGAAATAAGGCAAACCCTGGGAGCACGGTCGGATTCCAGCCGTCGCTGCAATACAGACATCGTTTTCCCGGAGTCTGCCCGCTCTTCAGCTGGGAGCCGGGACGTTTCCTCCGGCGGCCCCGGACCGGAGGCGCGTTAGCGGAGCGGGGCTGGGGCCGCCGGGACCTCCGGGCAGGAGGCGCCGAAGGGAAAGGGAAAGGGAAAGGGAAAGGGAAAGGGAAAGGGAAAGGGAAAGGGAAAGGGAAAGGGAAAGGGAAAGGGAAAGGGAAAGGGAAAGGGAAGACGAAGGGCGGCCCGTACTCACCGTCCACAGCCCCGCGTCGGGGTCGTTCACCTGCAGCGGGAGGCGCGCACTGAGAGCCCGGCCCGGCCGAGGGGAGCGGGGGGACGGAGGGGAGCCCCGGCCTCACCTGCACGGCGGCCGCCAGCCCGAAGAAAGCGGCCATGAGGAGGTTGCAGAGCCGCCACAGCCGCGCCGCCATGGCCGGGGCGGGACAGAGGGGCAGGACAGAGGGGAAGGACAGAGGGGAAGGACAGAGGGGCGGGCCGCTGCCCCGAAACGGATCCTGGTCCCGCATCCCGATCCCGATCCCGATCCCCGATCCCCAATAACGATCCCCGATCCCAATAGCGATCCCGCCACCGATCCCGATCCGCGATCCCGATCCCGATCCCAAATCCCAATAGCAATCCCGCCACCGATCCCGATCCCCCATCCCGGCCCCGATCCCGATCCTGATTCACGGCCCCGATCTCCCATCCCGCCACGGATCCCCGATCCCCGATCCGGGTCCCCAATCCCCGATCCCCAATCCTGATCCCCGATCCCGGCCCCGATCCTGATCCTGATCTCCAATCCCGTTCCTGATCCCCGATCCCTAATACGGATCCCGGCCCCGGCCCCGATCCCGATCCCTAATTCCGATCCTGATCCCTAACCCCGATCCCAATCCCGATTCCCGATCCCGTTCCCTAATCCCGATCCCTATCCCTAATTCTGATCCTGATCCCTGATCCTGATCCCTAATCCCGATCCCAATCCCGATTCCCGATCCCGTTCCCCGATCCCCGGCCCCGATCCCCGATCCCAGCCCCGATCCCGATCCTGATCCCCGATCCCAGCCCCTGGATTTATTGATTTATTTATTATTTACTTATAAATCATCTTCATGCCTTGTTTCCAGGTCAAGGATAGGCTCTTGAATGTATTTTCTAACAGAGAGGAACTAATTTTGGGCTAGGAAATGAAAATGTCAACGATTAAAAAGCAACAGTGGTGATAAAAAGTGTAAGAAGAATGCAAGAGCATGTCTTTCATTAGCATAATAATTATTAGCATAATATGATAGGAAAATAAAAGCAGCCAAGCTTTTCAGGCACACCAGTCCTTTTTTTGTGTGGGAAACAAAATTATGAGTCACTGCCCATTTTTTCCAATCATACTAGCTGATCTTCAAAATGAAAATTAATCTGTGATGAAGTCTTTTGCTCTTTAATTTGTTTAATCACAAGTTATTGTGCAAATTTGCGCAACCCACCTAGTTTCTGTCATGGCTGGGCTGCTCCTTGACATCTCATGAGCTGCACAGTCAGGAGGCGAGAGAGAGCAGGTGGGAGAAACTGGTAGAGACTGGGAAGGAAGCAGAGAAACAGCTGGACAGACACATCCAGGGCCCTGCGTGGCATGGGACAGGGCTCTGCTGAGGGGAAGGCTGGGCTGGCAGAAAGCAGCTTCTAATGGGCACTTGGGAGGCATGGCATGGAAGGCTTGGCAATCCTGTAGTGACCAAAGTTCAGTGACTCAAGAGCAAGGGAAGGCAAAAAGTCCCTCTGTCTCTCCTGAGGATATGGTCAGAAGGAGGGATTGGTTTAGCAACTGTGGCATTCTTTGCTGCTCTAATTCACAGAATCACAGAATATTCTGAGCTGGAAGGAACCCATAAGGTTCCCATAAGTATCACCGAGTCCAGCTCTTGAGAGGATGGCCCATACGGGGATCAAACCCACAACCTTCATGTTAGCGTCATGCTCGGGCCAATTGAGCTAAGTGGAATTAAAAAACAATCAGGCTGTAACATGCCTTAGAAATAAAAATGTCTTTCAGTGCTGGGTGTGCTTATTGCAAAGAAAAGCTCGAGGCTGTTCACTTTAAAGCTTTACCAACTATGCTGAGCACTTCCTCCAGTCATCCACTGCAGGGACACAAGGCAATACTGACTTCTCCCGTGAGAGGGAGGCCAAGAACCTTTAGTAACCTTGAGTAGAACTTGAGCTGCTTGTTCCTCGATATTAGGCAAAACATCTTCCCTCTTTTATGACCCCATAGCAGTCTGAGCTTATCTTCACTGTGGCAACTCCCCCTGTGAAGAACAGAGGCAGCAGGGATGGGCCCTGAAGCCAAGCTGTGATATTGAGAGGATGTTTCCCAAGACATGTACAAGAGATTTTACTACACTACAGCCATAGTCACCCATCACAGTGACCCATTTAATAACGGCCCTCATCCTTGTGCTATAAATGGTCACAGATTGGTTTAGATTGGATCAAAAGTGATTAAAAGGTTCTGGGTGGGCAGGTGGAGGGTTTGGGGCCTTTGGTGTGTTCCTGGCCGAAGAACCCTGACTACAGTTCCAATGGGGACATCTGGAGATAAATGC